AACCGGAATCAATGTCGGGACAGTTTACAGAGTCTTGTCGGACCCTTAAAGGAGCTAACCGGAATCAATGTCGGGACAGTTTACAGAGTCTCTCATTGCACTTAAAACATAACCCTTTGGCCTTCTTTTCCTCCAATTCCTTAGATAACTCTTTTCGAACATATCCCCCGTTACCCACTTGTGACCTGTTTACAGAAAAAGGAGGGATGCCTTCTGATTTGGTTCCCAACCTAGTCTTCTTGGTAATGGCTTCAATACTTGTTTCTTGAAGTTTTGCCAACCCAATAGCCTGAGTGATAGAGGTTGGTTTAAACATTAATACCCCTGGTTGAATTTCATCCTTAAGACCACTTATGAAACAACTAATAAAGAAAGTTTCAGGGAGGTTTTGAGTTTTGTTCGCCAAAACCTCAAACTGTTCTTGGTAAACTCTCACAGTAGTGGTCTGCTTTAATTTGGTTAGGTTACCCATTGCATCTTCATATGAATTTGGACCAAATCTTGATAGAAGTCCTTGTGTAAACAAATCCCAAGTAATATGATGATGGCATCTTTCAAACCATTGAAACCACTGCAAAGACGAGTCCTCCAAATGAAGAGATGCCAATTTCACTTTATCAAGATTGTCAACAGTATTGTACTCAAAAAATCTTTCACATTTATAAAGCCAACCAGTTGGATTATCACCATAGAAACGAGGAAATTCAATCTTCGCAAATCGTTGATGAGATTGGTAGTCTATCCTTTCCCCACGAGCTTGAAAATCCCCACGGGCTTGAACCCTTACTGGAGAAACCCCTGACTGTTCTTGGCGGAGCATTCTAGAATTGTCACTCCGATCTACATGCTGTTTCCCATAAATGTGTCCTGCCATTTGATCATACTTCATACTCATGGCAGCAATCAATTCCTTGATATCCCCCAAATCTTTGAGAGAACTCCTGATTTCCCCGATTTCCTTCGCATTTCTCTCATTATTTCTTTCATTAATATATAAAAGGGTATCTAAGTGATAATAGGATATGATATTAGGTTAGACAATTGATCATTATAGTGAAAATGATATGATTGATGAAATTATTTGGTGAGGACAATTATTGTTTTGAAGGATTACGGCACCAAAAAAAGGTTTTTACGGCGCCAAATGCACGCCATGGATACGATTCTACGACGCACAAGGCACATCATAACTAGTCATGGAAAGTCATTCACTTTTAACGGCATGCCATAGCATGCCATTAAAACTTTTAACAGCACATCCTATACGTCATGTTTAATTTTTCCAAAAATTGTCTGTGCATTACAAATCATCCAAAAACTATGTTTCTAAACATCAAAAATTGTTCTCAACTTCAAAACCATCCAAAAAGTTCTAAAGATATTAGAAAATTCATAGTAGCTTGGATTCCGTCTTCAAAAGCTTCCCTTCTTAGAGCAACCAAACTTGAAACAACATCAGTAGAAAGAGCATATATTAGATCATAAGCATGGATAAACTACTCCCTCCCAAGAAAATAAGATAGTGGTTCATACCGTTAGTTGGTCACTCCGGTTTTTCATCTTCACAAATTTGTGATCTCTAAAAACAAAGATGGTCTGAGGTTATGGGACAATCTGGGTTAAACTTTTGCAACAAATATGCAACAACAAAGTTCAGCCTACCATCGCATAGAGTCCACCTTAGTATCAAAGAACTTATCATCTGTCAGCTGAAAGATTTGGAAGTTGAAACTTCACAGGCTTATACCATTAAAAGAGGTGAGTGGACCCTTGAAAAATATGGATTGGATGCTAATTGGAGTATCAAGCTAGAATTTGGCAAAAGTATTGCCGTTTGGCACGTTGCTACAGACATTTGCTATCGTTCAGAACCAGAAAGTTCAAAGTCAGTCCCAAACAAAGTGGAAACAACCAAAATATTGTCATATTACATGATGCATCTTCTGCTTTTTTGTCCTACTTTATCTTTCTGTAACAACAATGAAAATTTTACTCAAGCTTATCCTAATGTGGAGAAATTTTTTGAAGAAGCCCAGTTTAATGGAGAAAAACTTGCCACTAGTTTAATGGAGAAGCAAGACAAATGGGAGATCATGAGTAATATATGGGTAGAGATGTTGTGCTATGCTGTGAGCTGCTGCTCGGTGAATCACCATGTTCAAGAGCTTAGGCATGGTGGACAGTTTCTCACACGTCTGGCTTCTACTTAAGCACTCGGGTGCAACAAAAATGTTGGAGAAAAATGCATCTCAACAATTGAATGACAAAGAAGACATAGAGTCAGAATTAATGGATGCTATTGAAGATACAGGATGTTGCTTCTGATACCTTTCAAGCCTTGAATAAGTGTCAAATTTCTGGGAGATGAGCTCATGCAAGTTTGAGTCAAACCATTTAGAAATTCTAGTTTCTTGTGTTTTGCAGATGTTGTTGTTTGATGTAGCTTTTGTTGCGTCCCCTAAAGCTTCTAGTGTTTGGCTTTGAGTTTTTTCTTGCTTTTAATTTCTGTGGTTTTGTTGTAATGGCAAGGCTTCACTTGAATTGTAGTTCTTTGTTGTACTGTTTCATATAACGAATTGATGGTTGCTTGATCCATGTGATAATTTTAAGGTTTCGTATGAGAGCTTGAATTACTTGATCCATGTAACAATTTTGTAAACTTGTAATATATAATTTAATGGTTCCTTTTTAAGTTTATTTTCTTTTAGTGCCTACAAAAAAATATATACTTAATTGTTGGAAATCAAGCTATTGTTAATATAATAATACCAGCTGTATGCTTATATCATTAATATATATTTAATATATATTAGTTAGTGCTTCTCCATCATATGCTTAGTTGTAGTGCTTTGCTTAGTTGTATAGGTAGTGCCTTCTCATCAGATGCTTCGCTTTCGGCTGCTTTTTATTTCTATATGTTTTCTTTCATGCTGTAGTATCATAATGATGTTGTATCAGCTCTCCTATATAATGGAGCCTTCTCTTCAGGTTTAATACACATTTTTGAATTACAGAGCGTATTAGCTCTTTCAATCACTCTCTCAATATTTCTTTCATTAATATATAAAAGGGTATCTAAGTGATAATAGGATATGATATTAGGTTAGACAATTGATCATTATAGTGAAAATGATATGATTGATGAAATTATTTGGTGAGGACAATTATTGTTTTGAAGGATTACGGCACCAAAAAAAGGTTTTTACGGCGCCAAATGCACGCCATGGATACGATTCTACGACGCACAAGGCACATCATAACTAGTCATGGAAAGTCATTCACTTTTAACGGCATGCCATAGCATGCCATTAAAACTTTTAACAGCACATCCTATACGTCATGTTTAATTTTTCCAAAAATTGTCTGTATATTATAAATCATCCAAAAACTATGTTTCTAAACATCAAAAATTGTTCTCAACTTCAAAACCATCCAAAAAGTTCTAAAGATATTAGAAAATTCATAGTAGCTTGTATTCCGTCTTCAAAAGCTTCCCTTCTTAGAGCAACCAAACTTGAAACAACATCAGTAGAAAGAGCATATATTAGATCATAAGCATGGATAAACTACTCCCTCCCAAGAAAATAAGATAGTGGCTCATACCTGCATGAATTAAACTGATTTGATTACTTCCTAATAACCATTATAAAGTTAGCACTTAGCACTAATTTTTGCCTAGGATAGCTCTAATTCCAACTTCTATAAAATACTCCCTCCCAAGAGAGATTACGAGACTGCCACTGAAAACTAACAGTTATGGTTTTGAACAAATTTATTTAATGAGATGGAACGTGCCCAATAGGTGTTCAAGTTTTCTATACTTCCAAATCTAAAAAGATTCAATACATCTAAGAGAACTGTATGATAAAATAAGGCATGTTCTATTTCATAGCATATGGAATAGGAGAACGTATTGTAGAGGTGGTAATCACTTACATTTGCTTCAGCAGCAGGATTGACATTCCCCAATGCAAAGAAAGATCCACCAAGAATAACTACTCTCTTGACCTTGCTTGCAAAGGATGAGACCCTTTTCATTGCCTGATCAAACAAACGCATGCTTCTTGAGTGTAAAGGTTACACACCCGAGAAATTTGAAGAAGTCATTATTTGTGAGAGTGAACAAAAAGGAAAGATATTAAAACTTACTAAAGCAAAATTTGTCAATGGTCCTAGCACAAGTATGGATACTTCACCAGGATATTTAGAAACCATATCCACCAAAAATTCCGATGCCTTCTTCTCAATTTTCTTGGATTTTGGAGGAGGTAAGGAAATGTTCCCTAATCCATCAGAACCATGAACGAAGTCTGCAACACGTGGTCTTCCACCCTAGTAAAGCACAACACAATTTTGAATCTCCACCTAACTAATGCATTGAAATGTGGGTAGCCCACTATTACCTCCTAACTATACCAATTATAGTTGCATCAAACAACACTGCAGTGCATCCTTTACTGTTCAAAATCAACAAACAATTGCAGAAGTGGAGAATACCAGACGTAAGGTAACCTAAAAAAAAATAGGCCAGATGTAGTATGTGTAATGATAATCACCAATCCATACTGTACCTGGCCTGCCCTTATCGGGCCATCACTGTCTGATGTTAACTATTCCGTTTGAAGTATGCCTAATGTGTAGATTAGATGTTTGAAGGGAACAGCTAGTGTGGAATAAGCCAATGCATGCATCTGTTCAGATAGTAGCAGGTATAATGCACTTGTGGCAACAAGCCTTTCTCAACTCCTAGAATCCAGAGTAGCAATCTGTCTTCGCAGTATTCTCTTTACTCCAAAAACACTAAGTGTGACACTAAAAATATTGGTTTGAAGAAGGAAGTGGTTTTCCCAATTCCAACCCCAATGGTTAGCTCAACAGGTAAGGCTTTGGGAGACACCCAAGGCCTAAGGTCCCCTATTCAAGTCTTGGGGCCACCTACAATAGGGCATAAGCCCTATGACTTAACTGAAGTGCATGGTCCGTGGAGATTATGGTGACAGAGGGAGGTTTACGGTAGATTAGAGGTTCCATCAAAGTTTGCTAAACCATGGGTTCCTCCCCATCCAAAATAAATAAATAAATAAATTTTCCAATGCCCATTCTAAAGTTGCTTTCTCAACCAACTCACTATCTCAAACAAAAACTCAACATAGTTACAAGTTAGAGCCTCATCTTTCATACGAACGTTCAAATGCCTAAGAAAAGGGAGCTTGTGATAGGTACACAATTAATGTACCCTTGAGTAAAACCTTCGTAATCTCAAAGGTCAAGAAAGTGATTGTAGATTTAGTAGAATGGTGTTAAAGGATTCATTAAACTAACCCCTAATAGTTTATAGTCTTCATTCAGTTGAATCTGAGTTGTGTAAAAATCTAAAACACATATGATGGCACAATAAAATGTAAAGAATTGAAATGATAATTCATGTTGGTCACCTATCCATCGGAATCCTTCTTTCTCTTGGAGGGAAGCACCTATCACGCTTTCACCAAGATTAGCAATCTAGGAAGCTACAACACAAATCACAGCCTCGGGTCCATTTATCTGTTTTCCAATTATTTTTTCAAGAGAAGGAAAAATACAGATCTGGTCAGATATCTTATGAAGATATAAACATAAAAGTGCCTGTTGAAAGATTCTAATAACACAAAGCTTAAAAAAAACAGACAAGCAGAATGAAAGTTCCGACCATCTTAATGCTGTTTTAAGTTTTGTTCATAAAGGAGACAAGCAAAGTGAAAAAAGAGAAAAAGATTGAAAGAATGTGGAGGGAATGAGAGTCGAATATTTAGAATTGTAAAAACAAAGAGAATTTATTATACCTCACCCATCAGATAACCAACGAAAGAAAGGAGAATTGATGCTAAAAGTCCAGCAACGGTTCCCTCAACACTAACAGCTCCTTCGGTTCCCCTTGGAACTATCTTAAATGTCGTGACTCGTGACTAGATACCTGCATTAAAAGCAGCAATTTTAAAGCATGCACACCATATATATTTATTTCATTGAACATTTTGTAGGAGGTCATTAATGCTTGGATACCGTGACGGAATTGACAAAGAAAACTTGAAAGGTTTGTACAATATTAAAATAATATTTTTTCCTGGGATACACAGATAGATTTTAACTGAGAAACTCACAGAACCAGAATATAATCTGGAGAATGCATCTACTGTAAAACAAGAATCATGTCAATGACTTCAAAATTCAAAACACACATTTTCTACTAACTTGAGGTGCAAATAGCATACTTTTAGGATAGATAAATCTCTTAAGATGCTACTCATGCTTCCTAGGACAAATCTCAACCATTTAAAGCATTTGACACAAATCACCCTCCTCAACTGGACCAAAAATCAATCCCAGGAGTAGAATTTGTGGGTTCCATTCAACATACCAATTGCAATAATTTTACCTTCCATTATTCGAGATAGAATCCAGTGTATGTAATACTAACATATAACTGGCAGTAGTCTCATCAAAATCTCAACCATTGATCAAAACTCAACACAACTTTTAAGTTATCATGTGGCAGGATGGGAACCTATGATAGCATGATAGATCACCTAATAACAAATTTTATGCACAATAATAACAACAAAGGTTTTACAACCATACCAACTTATAAAATTTACTGTCATAAATGAGAATCCTAAAAAACCTAGGAAACCACAAGTTAAAAGATGCACCACTTACGTTGTTTTTCCATATGCTTTTCCTATTTCACTTGAGACAGTAACACTCAATTTAGTACAGAAACTGCATATAGCTTGTGATTTAATTCCATTTAATCTAATTAACACAAGCTTGTTAGAAACTACATAGTCACGTCATCGCATTCAAACCACCAGTAGAGAGGCTGTTTGTCTTTGAGCAGCAGCTTCTTCATCATCATAGGCACCTGAATTACCAACACCAAAATAAAATAAGAGCCACTAAGTGACCATATTCCTAGAAATAATTACGAAAAAAAAAGGAACTATATTAATTGGAACATACCAAGATAGACTGCATCATTTCATTAGGATTCCACAAAACCAGCACCAACAATGCAATAAGCAGAAAGAAATCAATAAAATTGCTATAAAGATATGTCTATGAAGAAATATATATATATACATAATATGAGGAGAGAAGTGATATTGAACCTTGTCTTCCTTTCTTGTTTTGTGATTCATTCCAGCAATTCTTGTCCCACAAATGAGCTTCATACCTTCCTGTCCATGATGCCTTGAGCAATCACCATTAATGAGACTGAAACTACAGTATTAAATTTGAACCAAATAGGAAATCAATTTCTAGTAATTACAGTATTAAATTTGAACCAAATAGGAAATCAATATGGTTTTTTTTAGATTGATATTAGGGCTCAAGAGTTGGGGTTTTGATTTTTTTTTTCTTATTATTTAATTTTTTTGGGTGTTTGGCGTGTAAAATTTTTATTTTGGTGTTTTTTTTTTTTTTCTTCTGATCGACCCTTTTATAATAGTAATTGCGTGTTGTAAAAAGTATAATATTTTAAACAGTTGATTTTCTGTGTGTCCTGAAAAGTGGAATTTTTAACGGCTACCTTTTTGTGCGCCGTAAAATGTTCAATATTTTTAAAAGTTAGTGTGCGCGTGTCGTGTATAGTGGATGTATTAACGACATGCCATATACACGTCATAGAAAGTTCATTATGTACAACTAACATTGCAAGTTGTAAAAAAATTATCGTACAATGCATTCACAACCTACGCAATAGACATGTCGTAGTTGGAAAATTATTTACAACATGCAAAAAAAGGAAGTCATAAAAAGTGAGAAACTATGACTTGTATTTATTGTATGCCATTGATATAAAATCGTAAAAACCCATTTTTATTGCCACTATATCATTGTTGGACCACCTACTTTAAAAAATTCGCCAAAAAGTGGCAAGTAGTGGCTAATGCCAACAACTGATCGTGGTGGTGATATGAATAAATAGACAAATTAAGTTGACAGATAGGTACATAAGGACAAATAGAGAGATGATACTTAGAAAGATAGGTGGGTAGTGGATAAATTGACTGATAGGTAAAGGTAATATAATATTTTTAATTATTATCTTTTTAAAATTATAACTCCCGTCCTCTGGTAAATTACCAACATGTGTTAATATTTGGGCTTAATTCCCATTAAATCATATTAATTCATCACTAAAAGTCAGTCTTATCATAATGGTCGCTAAAAAAAGACTTTTGTGATGATTTTTGAATTTGTCGTTAAAAATTGACAATTAGTAACATTTTTCTGTGAAAATTTTTTAAACTATCGCTAAAATTTAGAATTAGTGAATTTTTTTGACGAATTTTTTAAATTGTCGCTGAAAACTAACAATTAGTAACGTTTGTTATTAGTATTTGAAGAAAAACGTTGCTAATTATCAAATGACCTATTAGGCAATAAATCAATCTATTGAAACCTACACATAAGTCCTATATAAAAGTGTTTTGAGATATGTAAAAATATATTGAGATTCATTCTCTCACTTGTCTGAAAGAGGAATTCCCACTTCTACATAGGTTGGTAGTTAATAAGGGAGAGTCCTTAAATTCAATGCTGACAAGGAATGAGGTTGTAGGAGAGGGTGTTTCAGTTCAAAAAGGAGCTATATGATTGGGAAAGGGTGGAGGTTACTAGAATGTTAGCCCTTTTAGAGGCAACTCTTGCAATCAAGTCAGAGACAGAAGATAAACTGGTTTGGACTACCTCAAAAATAGGTATTTTTACAATTTTAGTTATGTATAATTTTCTGACAGCTGGGTTTGGCACACCTCTTTCATCTAGTAAATTGGTATGGCTGAAGTACATTCCCCCCTCTCCGCCCATAGAATCCAATTTTTTGGTTGGCTAGCATGGAAAGGCATACTAAAGACAGTAGATTTTCTCCTACGAATGGTGTAATGCCCTCAAAATAAACCCAAAATCATCCAACAATAGCATGCTTAAACGTAAGAGAATAAGGCATAAATATATTCCATCAGAGTAGTCCTTACAAAATGTATTACATGTTGACATCAAAAGTAAATGCCCTATGGGCTTACAACTTTCCAAGTCAACACTTGGTTACAAAAAGAGAGTACTAACTCTATACAAAGAAAGCCCTTGGCTTGATATACATGTAATACAACAAAACAACAAAAGAATCCAACAGCCTCAAGCCTCCTAAGCTACGTCCTTGGAGGTGGCATGCTACCTGTACCTAAAAATAATGCACCATATAGGGTGAGCCACAGCCCAGTAGAAATATATTAAACCAACTATAAACAATGACTAAAATGATAGCATTCGATAGATGGTTCACACTTATACTCCAACTCATGTCATATCACATTTTCCGTTTCTTACTCAACTTTAAGTTTGAAAACAAGGCTCAGAACCTGGCCAAGCAATTTAATGAGGTTATATCCCATTACTAAAATACTTTCGCAATTCATGATGGATACACATTTTGGTGCTGTATCAATAACACATAAAACCACTTCCATACTTCACAAATGGTACACATTTTAGTGTTGTATCCATATGACAAAAACACTTCCATACTTCACATATGATACACATTGTAGTGCTATATCAATGGAAAATAACTTCCGGTTTAGAGGACTATCCCCTATCTTCCCCTAAACCGTGGAGTACATCCCCTATCTCCTCCCACACAACATAGTGCATATAAACAATTATCATACACACAATCAATCAACACATAAAGATAATGTATTATTCCAACCGTCATATTCGATGACACATTCCATTTATTAGTTTTAGTTTGCCTAATCATCATGCATTGTCTATAACAATCAAGACTATCCTCCACCGATAGCCCAAAGCAGTTATCTCTAAACAGGAAATAAATGCATCAAATGGATAACATATCAACATTTGTCTAGGTGAGCGATAAATTAGTCCAACTCCACCCTTTAATCCCATACCTTTAAAATTTGAATATTTCCTATTCAATTTCTCATTTCCCAAAATTAATTATACAAATTAATTTATCAACAATTAGGGCTTTTTCCCATAATTACAACACCAACCTTAAGGTTCCATTTTCATCAATAATTCAACACCGAGTCCATTTTCCAATGTATTGCATACATAAAGGTTTATATGTTTGAAACCCCATCTTTTGAAAAATTACACAATGACCCCAAACTTTCACAAAATTACCCAATTCAATTTCCGGGGCATAGGGTACTTATTCTTGACCGTAGCCCGATTCAATTTCCGGTAGTCGATACAAAGTCTCAAGGCACCATCTTTCTTTTTAACAAAGAGGGCCGGTGCTCTCTACGACGAAACACTAGGGCGAATAAAGCCCTTATCCAGCAACTCTTGGAGCTGAATCTTCAACTCAATCAACTCGGCTAGGGCAAAACGATAAGGTGCCATAGAAATCGGCGCCGTGCCGGGCACTAAATCAATAGAGAACTCTATCTCTCGGTGAGGTGGCAAACTAACGAGATCCTCGGAAAAAACATCCGAACACTCACAAACCACCCTCGGCAATACAACCTGGGTCTCATCACACTCACCTCTCATGAGGCTAGCAAAAAGACCACTAAGCTCACTCCGCCCTCGCGGATCATATACCGGTGGCAACACACTACCAACCCGATCCCGCAAGAAATGGAAACACTCCCCCGCTCGGGATACATACTGTGACCCTCTGGCGGTAGCAATCAATAACAGCCTGGTATGATGATAGCTAGTTCATACCCAAAATAACATCAAAACCCTTCATGGGCATAACTACAAAAGGAAATGGAAGTCTGTGATCGGCGACCTCTATATCACAATCTCTACATCCTTGTTTCAAAATCAATTCACCCCCAACAGGTGATACAACACATATAGGACATGCTAACTGTGCCAACTCCAATTCCAAAACAGATACAAATGCAGCAGATACAAAGGAATGAGATGCACCCGTATCAATCAGCACACTAGCAACCGAGTTGCAAAACAAAAAAGTACCTCTCACAACAGATGGAGCCGGTACTAGGTCTTGCGCGGTAACAGCATACACGTACCCTGTAGGCCCCCGATCCACCTGCTCACCCCTCGGAGCATACGACTACTGCACAGACTGGGATAACAAAGCTCCCGGATTGGCCCTCGAAGCCTGCACAGACTGAGCTGGCTGAAAACCCTGCGTCTGCCTAGAACTAGATGCTCCCGAAGTGGCACTCAACTGTGGGCAAAACCTCTTCAGGTGCCCAGGCTGACCACACTGATAGCAAGACAAAGACTGGCCTCTGCCCTGACTCTGGCCCTGAGGTCGAGCCGAAGAAGAAGCAGCTCGCTGACCTCCTCCCCTCTGTGGGCAAACCGAAGCTTTGTGGCCCAGCTGACCACACTTGTAACAAGTGAAATCTCCCTGATTGCCTCTCCCCGAGCCTACACTCGGCACTGGAAAGGTTGATCTAGCAACACCACCCTGAGACTACTAAGGGTTAGAACCCCTATGTCTCCGACCATCACCCTGACCATCCTGACTCCTCTTGGAGCCTTTCTGCCCTTCATCCTCTTCCTGCATCATGATCTCCATATAGGCTACAGCATCAACTAGGCGCCCATAATCTCGGGTCATAGAACCCCTAACTCTCATCTTGAGGCCGCGCCTCAACTTCTTCTCAAACTCGATGCAACGGCGTTCCTCGGACGCCACAAGTTCAGGTGCAAACCTGGACAAATTGGTAAAAGCAACCTCAAACTCGGCCACAGACAAACTCAGCTGCTTGAGCTGGCAAAACTATTCTCTCAACTTCTCCCTGACTGCTGGAGACAAATACTTCTCCTGGAAAGCCTCTACAAAAGCCTCCCACGTGCCACCAATACGGCCCCTCATGTATTTCCACCACTGACCCGCACCCCCTTTAAGCTGGAAGGATGCCAAGGTCACTTTCAATGCTCCGTCCTCGATGCCAAGCATCTCGAACGTCTTACTCATTTTCTCTAACCACTCGTCAGCCTTCAGTGGCTCATTCAGATCCCCAATAAACTCATCTGGATTAGACCGGAAGAACTCCCTCTTCAAGAAGGAAAGCCCTGCGTCAACAACTGGGGCCTGCACTTGAGCCGGCACTGGATTCTCAACTCTGAGAATACCCATAGACTCCCTCAAAGCATCGGCTATCCCACGGGCTAAAGTGCCCATAGCCTCCTAACCTGCTGGCTCGGCCACATTGG